CTAGTAATTACGCAAATTATAATTTTGCGGGTTTGATTTTTATTACACGATGTTATTCCTTCACCGTGGAAGTCAATCGTGAACATTTGTTAAGTACGTATTACATTTTATTAGAAAAAATGGTCCATCGCTATATACGAATGCACCGGATGTCTTATCCTTTAGGCCACGACCATTTCTATGTCGTCTTCTTTCTATAATAGCTATGAATGCACCTATCCACTTCAACATTTCCAGTCTTTTATTATCTAGTATTGGTAGTACACACAATGTGTGATCTATGTAGGTATTAACAGAACCTATGCTGCTACCTGCAATACGATATCGGAGACCCGACATTAGAATAAAGCTTGCCATTCAAATCCTTTAGCATTATTGCTCTGCGGCAAAGCAGACCGGCAGTACAACCCGTACTGATTACAATACGTCGTATTAATAAACTCAACATTGAGAAGAAATAATTATTTTGAGGAATATAACTGCGTCCGGCAAATAGGTGTAGAAATAATAATGTGTTCAGTAGTACGATACCATCGTGTATTACTGATGCTATTGACGACTCTACGTTAACACAGACGGTAAACAGACATTGTTATTGACACCTTTCCAATATCCAACGTGCTAAAGAAACAGGTTTCCATTCGATACAATGTTACTGTGTTTCTTTATCAGATCGTGTTGTCCTGAGAACCGGTATTTTGGTTTATTTTCGACTAAATCATTTAGATAAAAATATATTAGCGAAAACCTTTAAAGAAACCTGCATAATTGAAAAATTAGAGCAAAACAACATTCACGTTTTCTTATCATCGACTTGATAAAATGAAATGAAGTGCTTATCATAAACAAACCGCTCTTATGTAATGATTAAATAATTAATAAAAATCACGAAAAATCACACGCGAACAGATGATCAGATCAAACTGACAATCGTCCGTGACCACGCACTCTGTAAAGTATGCGAAACGTCGCAATTAACATAATATTATAACAATGACAATAAACAAACGCTACATCAAACATTAAAAGTAGTTCCAAAAGTTATTCAAATCAAATCAAATCAAAAAAATTTAGCCTGTGGGATTCAAATCGATAGTAGCAAAGTAGAGACGATATAAAATACATTGATTATATTTTTTAAAGGACCAAGATTGTAATATTTGACTGTAAAATACACTGGACGCACGAAAAATCAAACGCATCACTATTGCTTTGTTGGCTGTCGCTAGTGTGAAGCGAGTCGGATTGGCTTCGATCCAGCCTTCACTGTGTATATTTAAACAATCAAAACATTATTGAACCGTTGCTCTATAGAATTTTAATCAAAGGTTAGCCAATAGTGTGTAACAGCAATACTACCTAATACTGTTATCGGTTATAACAAGTATCGGGTGTTACCGTGACTTGGTAATAGGTAATTTTATTATTATATATTCTTTATCAGTATATTATATTTATATACTTACGCATATATATATATATCTTCGGTTACCAAAAAAGTTGAGGATTACATAGTCGACATCATGGAATTTGCCAAATCAAAGTAAAGTGCCGACTTGATATAATGGAGTCGCAACAGAAAACAGTACAAGATTAAACCCCTAAAGTGGGCATGAATCATTTCGACAGCTCACTGACATAAACATACTGCAACTAGCCGATTTTTGTTTTTCTTTCAGTATGCCAAAATGACATATAATGACGTTTGTAGTGCTGTAGCGTAGGGCTTACGGGCTTAGGCTTCACGGTTTGATTCACAACAAATTATTCATTTTGTAGCTAACGTTAACGAATGGCCAGATGGCAGAAACCATTTTTTGTCTAAAAACCAAAATAAACATATTTGGCGGTTTCAAAATTTGTATGTGCCTAGCATCCAAGAATCAACCAGGCGATCCAGAAACGCCACAAGAATTAACTTTACCGAATAAAAGATATGATCTGTAACACATAATATTATTATTATCAAAGATAGAGATACTGGTAACACGAGCGCGTCATTCTCGTTTGTATGTGCGGCGAGTACTCCTCAAACCAGTTTAGAATCTTGTCGAGATCATTACCATATCCATAGAACGGATTCAAGAATAACAAACAACGAATTACGAATATCAGCAGACGTTATAGTTCGGATCAGCCGAAGCTCAAATTGAATATTCTTTTCAGATGTCACGAGTTATACAAAATGTTCACGGTGACTCACGGTAACATCGTATTTATGGCTCCTTTTGCGCTCCTTGTAAAAGACTTTGTTTGTTAAAAAAATATAATCGAAACCGTCCATTAGCCCGCGCCTGTACACTAAGCGCATATATCCTGTACTAGACTAGTACTTCCAGTGGGAGCGTTACAAAGAAATTAATTAACTTTTCGGACAGATCTTACAATTTGCACCTCAGTTTTGAGCCTCAAGCCATACTGTTTTTTCTATTATGCATAGAAATAGATAGTAATACAAATAATATATTACAGAGCAAGGCAGGTCATTTAATAATTCAATCGAAGATTTGTTCCAGTCCAACACACATATCAACAGAGAAATAATAATAATATACCCTAATGAGAGTTATATTTAACCTAAAGAACCCCTACAGAGACGGGCGTTTGCGTTCATACCAGGATAGCGGTTAAGGCCACGTCCGACGCTTCGAACGAATGTATTGAAATTATTTGGTTCACGGACCTCGATGACCTTTTGGCTTTAGTCGTTTACCGCAAATGCCACCTGCCCGCCCATAAAATAATACTCAACTTCTATTATTATATTGTAAATCACGCCGACCTCATGCTTCCAGCTTATTAGCCGTACATTGTTTAAGAAGACGCGTGATATATGTATGTGGGAACAACTTAGAATATGTAGAGACGGTACCTACGTCTCTACTCATTGCTATACCATAGAACAACACTGATACCCATGCTACCCGGCCATACTAGTATAAGGCGACGTGAAATTATCTAATTTGGTATGTCCTATGATGGTACCTATCCGTGCGGGCTCACAAGAGGTCCTACCACTAGTAACTATATAGTTAAATTTAACAAAAAAATAACATTTCATTGGAATAACGTCTACCCTAAACTTCAAAGTAGAACGCGCGGTATATAAATAGCCAAAATAAGTAATCGTACGAGCTTACAGCATGACATGTCACTCACACATGTAAAACTAGTTAAATTGATATTATCACAGACTGCCAAATGTACTGTATTTGCTTATCGACGATAAAAATCAATGTGTTCGAGTTATACAACAGTTGTACTTAATATACATGCTCCACACTATTCCGCTTGTGAATAATTGAAAGACACCGACGAGTTGTTCTGCTCCGATGTTATCTCCAACTTCAAATGTCATTTACATCCGTCAATCTTACTGAAGCGTTACCGGCTAAGATATAAGAACTAAATTCGTAAAGCACTACAGTCGAAATAGTGGTAAAGTTATCGTGGGAAAACGAAGATCAAGATTCAATGCGCCGTTGACGCGAGCGAGTCACGAAACGTCAAAATGTCCTGCTGTAACCACGAGTTTCGTGTTTATGTGTGTAATATTAGGTAGTATTTTGAATAGGTATCGTTATGGTTTATCTAATTAGCAAATGCTGTATCATTATTTATTATCTGCGCCAACCGGTCTCAAAAAGACAGATTGCGTTTGAAACTTCAAAGACAAACTCTAAACCCGGATCCTTGAAAGGCTTTATTTATCTATAAATAGCAGTCTGAAGTAAAACTGATAAGTTCATATTATGATAATCGCCTGATACTCGTATCTCTTCAAAAATAACAATGATGAAACGTGTGTACAATATGTACATATATTATGAAAGATCACGATAAGCTTAATATTTATCGAATGAATTGCATATTATAGTAAGAAAACATTATATACCTCATTATTTCCTAATGTAAATCATCAAAAATTAAAATCATTATGATTATAAAATATGTAAATAGATAATTAATAATTATTATTTAAATTCGCAGCTTTAAATGGGATTTTTATTTTCAGTAAATCAATATGTATATAAACTATAGTTTTTGCAATAATAAAAAATAAAAAAACTATGGTAACGACATGCGACACGATATGCAAATGGAAAATGATGAATGGTACGTGGCATCAGTTGCGTCGATATCCTAACATCACACAATGGGTCCTGCAGGATAAAGTTTGTAAATCAGTATCGCTATTGACTGACAGACGGACAACGCACAAAAAACATTGAAACGTTGTATGGCAGCGTAGCTAAATGCCGCAATCTAAAGTTCTTCACGTTCGTCTGTCCGTGTATTTTTACTCGCTACTAAAGTATACAATAAAATTCCAGTGGACATTAGGCATTAAACGCAAGCGACGCTTTTAGATCGTTTTTTTTTTTTATATAGGGGTCGCCAAACGGATTTTTTATTTCATTATCCGGCCGCTGGAAGAAGGTCTTTCTAGCGGATGGCGATCGCACGATGTAGTTTTGAGGAGAGGTTTTATTGCTTTTATCATTGGTTTGAGGAGGGCGACAAAAAATATGTGTGATTAAGAAATAAATCGTTGTGTCAACTTGGAGTGAATTTTTGTCATTTAGTGCTAAATGTGATATTGGTTTGAGCGTATTCTTCCGACGGCCGGACAATAGGCAATAGTTGTTGCGATATGCTGATCTCTGACTGACTTGATTGTACAGTAGGTAGCGCCTCTGTTGCGCTGAGGGTCGTGGGTTCGATTCCCACATCGGGCAAACAATCGTCTGATGAACAGACTCGTTTGATTTTGTCTCGGTCTTTATAACACATATTCTATATTGGAGCCGGATTATCGTGCGTGGTTTATTCCCAGCTATGTATTATTTTTTTATTATCAGTTATGTGAAGTTGTAAAATTTTGTTCCGTGTTCTACAAAAGAGGTTTATAGCAGTCTGTAATGACTAGACCATGCGCCTAGTGTTGCCAATGTTCATAACGAACGATGCGATAAAATCATGTTATCTGTCTTCTACAGGTATGACTGGGGAGGCGTGTGCATGCGGGCCGACTCCTGCCAGACTTTTGCCTGAACCAGAGCCCGATCATCTCTACGACCACCACTCGTCTGAAGAGGAGCTCGAGGTAATTGCATTGAATACAAGCAAACTTTTTTGATAGAATTAATTTTCATAAGTATAGGTATTTAAAATTACAAAACTTGCGATTATTGTATTTTCTGCGGTTTTCGCGCTTTATACACACCAATAAAAATACTTTTACGGTTTAATCTCAGTTTAACTATTAAAAGCTTTCGTTTTTTTTAATGTAATAACTTTACAGCCTAGCCAAAAAATTCGAAACTCGAAGTCAGATTTGTAAAATGAAAATAAGAATCGCGGCATTAATCTCCTCGTAATGGTTTAAACCATAAAAGTAATTTAAATCACTTCACTTATACCTAGTCAGGTCATAAATTCTGTCACATGTTTAATGTAAAATAATTGAAACAAGTTTATTCATTATGTAACCATTCATATACCAAAATTAACTTAACAAAACATAGATTCTTATGACACTAAAGTTTATTCAAAATGACCTCCGTGATTTTGAAGACAGGCCTTCAATCTGCGCGGCCAGTCGTCTATCGCAGCACGAACGAGATCCATGTCAATATCGGCGGCTGCCTTAATCAAGGATGTCTTGAGTGACTCCAAATTGGGATGAGGCTTTGAGCACGCCTTTTCCTCCAAGTGTTGCCATATCTTGTAATCTAACGGATTCAAATCTGGACTGGAGGAGGGCCAGTCTTCGTGCCGGATGAAGTCGATTTCACGCGCCGCCAGCCAGTCTTGTGTGCTCTTCGCTCTATGAGCTGGCGCCGAATCTTGTTGGAATACCCAGTGCCTGTTATTGAACATGGTA